GTTTGGTGACTTTCATCTGATTTGTCCCTTTTACTCTCAGTCGTTTCATGCGCGAAATATATCTGCTTTAAAAAGTACTCAAGCACACGCATTTTTGTGTAGCTGGCTAACTTTTTCCAAAACCTAGCAAGCTGTTGGTTTTGTGTAATGTGGTTGCTGCGTCACTGCTTTTCGTTCAGAGGACCATCAAGAAAATACTTGATCGAGTGAAGTATTTTTCTTGTGTCCAAACTGAAACCAAGCTGAAAAGCCGTAGATGTCTAGGTAAGTCAGATCAATTCTCTGTCTGTATTTCCCAGGCTCTTTGACGTTCACGTGACATTCCAGCTCTATAACTTTCCATGACGATCGGTTCTTCAGGCAAATTTTCCAGGCCTGGATTGATTGTGGTTCTTCTTTTCATCTTCTTCTTCCTGAAAATAATTAACAATTAGTATCACCCAACTAGTGGACTAATGCAAATCCTGCATTTTGATTGGCTACGCTACTAGGGGACTATTAGTAATAGTCATCGAGTAGCGAAANTTTTGAACTGTATCGTTCTGTTCTTTATAACGGTGCTGTTCTGTTAAGAGTAAATAATTTAACAACTGGCGGATGTTTCCAGTATTCGAGAGAGGTGATCTTTTTCATTTTTTTCTATGGTGTTCCTATTGTTCTTTTTTCCCTTTCACTCTTCCTTGTCACAGTTTTTTTTTCTTTTTTGAAGTTTCCTCATGTACACAGAGAGGACTTTGCCATGTCTTCTTTCGTTTAGCAAACTTCGCTTTAAGTTTGGTGACTTTCATCTGATTTGTCCCTTTTACTCTCAGTCGTTTCATGCGCGAAATATATCTGCTTTAAAAAGTACTCAAGCAGACGCATTTTTGTGTAGCTGGCTAACTTTTTCCAAAACCTAGCAAGCTGTTGGCTTTGTGTAATGTGGTTGCTGCGTCACTGTTTTTCGTTCAGAGGACCATCAAGAAAATGCTTGATCGAGTGAAGTATTTTTCTTGTGTCCAAACTGAAACCAAGCTAAAAAGCCCTAGATGTCTAGGTAAGTCAGATCAATTCTCTGTCTTTATTTCCCAGGCTCTTTGACGTTCACGTGACGTTCCAGCTCTATAACTTTCCATGACGATCGGTTCTTCAGGCAAATTTTCCAGGCCTGGATTGATTGTGGCTCTTCTTTTCATCTTCTTCTTCCTGAAAATAAACGAAAATATACCACATGCAATTAGTTCAATGGTCCAGTTGCCACAACGCCCAGACTAATTAACAATTAGATTATGAGCTCGAAATTTCTATGAGGTGATCGTCGACAATTTCTATGAGGTGATAGTTGACAATTTTCCGCCGGTAATATGTTCTTTCAGTCTTCTCAGGAATTTAGTTATTCGTTTACATCTGAACTTTCCTCCAAAACGTCGGAAAAAAGATAAAAACGTCGCGTTTCTTGGACGATCGACAGCCACTGCACTCTAATGGCTGATAGTATACGAGTAGCTCAGCCAATCAGATTGCAGCATTTGCGTTAGTATACTAGTAGAATTCTACTAATTAACAATTAGATTATGAGCTCGAGAAATCTGTGAGGTGATAGTTGATGAGGTCGAAGGCCTCATCAACT